TGATATGAGAGAGGAGACTGAAATAAGTAAACATATAAATCAACTACATACTTTTACACAGTATAAAGTGCAATGAGGAAAATCATATTGAATACGTGTTAACTATTGGAATGGCTGGACAGGGAAGACCTTTTGGTAACATGAAGTTGGCCTGAGCACTGTGTGAAGTTATACCATGGTGAAAATTGTTCCATGGTGAAAAGAGTAGACAGAAACAGCAAAGGCCCTGAAGGAGAATGAACTTGGCTTGTCTGAAGAGTAGAATGAAGGCCAGTGTGGTAGGATACATACTAATAATAGAAGAAAAATGATAGAAGAGAGAATGTTTGAGCAGGTGGGCAGGAATTGGTCAACATAGGTCATAATAGAAGTTTGGATTTTATTCCATCTGCAGTGAGAAGTTCCTAAAAAAATATTCTATAAACTGGAGTTTGAGAAAAAAACTATGATAATGATAATTTTTATAGCAAAAGCCCTCAATCATTTGTCTCATAAACTCCAAACTTCTAATTCAGCAGAGACTTAGGGAGATCAAAGGGACTACCATAAAATTACCCACGGGTTAAAATTCAGATCCACGGCAGCTGGTCCTGACTGGAATTAGACTTCCTTGTCTGTTGCCCTCTTTGCAGTGGGTCTGAATGTCTCTGTCGGCTATGAATTTTTCTGCCTTCATCTGTGGTCCTGAGAAGGTGGCCCAGGCTTCTGGAGTCTGTCCCATTGGCCTATACCCTAGGGATTTGCTGCCCTTCTTTTGGAAATTTGGATATTTGTTTTCAGAACATACATAAAGGCCTCCTGAAAACAATGTTAACAATAGCGGAATGTTTTTTACGGTCTTCTGCTCAGACTTGGATTTTTAAAAAGCAGGGATGGAGACTGTATTTCCAGATCTAGTCAAATCCCTTCTAAACTTAAAGCAACAAAGTGCCTTTCAAACTAGGACTTGTACTGTTTAATGCTCTGGAATCAAATACCCAAGCTTCAGCCAAAGGAGAGAAAGTGATGTTCTGGAAGCTTTCTGAAAGTTTTTGGAAAGCAATTTTCATGCATTAGTATAATATATATATGAATCACTAATGAGAAAATTGATCTTCAGAAACTAAAGTGAAAAAAAAATGGGTTATCTTTGTATCATTGTTACAGATAAATGTCGAAGAAGTTCATTACTTCTTTCAGATATTAATTGAGGACTTACTGTGTACTAGGAACTGTGATAGATACTGGAAATTCAATGGCGAATGAAAAAAATTCTCTGCCTTCAAGGAGCTTATATTCTAACAACAACTTAAAATTTACTGAGTGTTCTCTATATTTCAGTAGTTATTAAGTGCACTAATTCAGTGGGGAAGCTAGATAATAAAGAAGTATGTAATAAGTATTAAATATAAGTGCTGTAAAGAATAATAAGGCAGGTTATGGTAGAGAGATTAATGGCAGTCTGAAGATGTCCATGTTTCAATCCCCAGAACCTGTGAATATGTTACCTTACATAGCAAAAGAGACTTTGCAAATATAATGAAGAATTATCTGGGCAGGTCCAATGTAATTATAAGAGTTCTTGTAAGATGAAGGGACAAAGGTCAAAGAGGAAAAGAGAAGATTTCAGGATAGAAGCAAAGAGGACAGATGTTAGATTGCTGGCTTTGAAGATGGAAAAAAGAAACATGAACCAAAACAAACAAAACAAAATCCACAGGTGGCCTCTAGAACAGGGGTCCCCAGTCCCTGAGGCATGGAGCAGTACCTGTCTGTGGCCTGTTAGCAATCAGGCCGGAGGTGCGTGGAGGTGCCTGGCAAATGATGGTCAAGCAAGCATTATCACCTGAGCCCAGTCTCCTGTCAGGTCAGTGGCAGTATCAGATTCTCATAGGAGCCTGAACCCTACTGTGAACTGCATATGCAGGGATCTAGGTCTGTGCTCCTTATGAGAACTTGATGCCTTCAAAATGCCCATGCTTCAATCCTACCTCCATCCGTGGACAAACTGTCTTCCACAAAATCAGTCCTTGGTTCCAAAAAATTTGGGAACCGCTGCTATAGAAGCTGGAAAGGGGGAGATATATTTTCTTTTAGAGCCTATAGAAGGATACAGGCCTGCTGGCACTTTTAGTCCTGTGAAACTGATTTTGGATTTCTGAACTCCAGAAACGTAAAATAATACATTTATTTTGTTTCAAGCCACTAAATTTGTGGATTTAGTAATTGGATACAGCAGCAGTAGGAAATGAATACACAGGTTTACAGGATGGTGAATTATGGAGGATGCTTAAGAATCACCTCTTTGAGGTGCTGGCCTTTAAAGAGAAAAAGGCGCAAAGGAACAAACCATCTGGTGGGGGGAAAAGCAGTCCTGTCAGAGGGCACAGCAAAAGCAAGTGCTCTGAGAAGGGACTATTCTCAGAGTGTTTGGGGACTGGCAAGAGGGCTTTGTGAGAGTGAGCAAAAGGAAAACGTTAGTAGGTTATCTTGGAGACATAGCAAGGGACCAGAATATGAAGGACCTCTCACCTTGCTAGGCATTTTGACTTTATTCCAAGAATGATGAGAAGTCATTGAAAGGTTGTGAGCAGGGTTACATGCTCTTGTTACTTTTTAAAGGCACAATGTAACTCCAAAATGGAAAATCAGCTCTGGGCTGGAGGTGCCAGCATAGGGGAAAGGGAAAGCAGAGAGATGGATTGGGAGAACAGAGCCTTAAGTTGTCCAGCTAAGATGTGCGAAGTGCAGACTGGAATGAGAGCAGGCAGAAAGGACTATATGTGCTAGATGGAATGGACAGGATTTGCTGGTAGATTGAAGGTATGAGACAAAGGAGACATGGATGATATCAAGGATTTTGATGACACTACTGATTTGAAACATTCTGAGAGGAACAGGTTTGGGATGGAAAATCATGAGTCTGATTTTAGATGTTTTAGAAGCTTATTGGACAGCCAAGAAGATGTCAGGTAGGCAGTTGGACTTAATATTTGAAGTTCAGAGGAGTGATTGGAGCTGGTGTCATCATTTGCAGAGCTCTGGATAGTACATAAAGCATGGGATAGTGTGGGGGATAGATCCTAAAGACAGAGCCCTAGGGCACTCCAGCCTTTACAGCCCAGGAAGAAGACAGCTTATTGAAGGGTTGGGGGGTCGGGAGAAGAAAAAAAACCAAAAAAAAAAAAAACCCCAAAAAACCCAACTCTTATTACTTCCATTGTCAGGACAATTCAGAACCACTTTTTTTGACTTCCTGGCCTGAGTGAAGCTTGAAAAATGGCAGCTTGCCCCTTTGCAAAGGTCCTAAGGAGTAGCCATTGGCTTGGCCTGTTTGCCATGGCTCTGGGTGAGCTTTTAAAATGCCAGTGAGCTCTAATTGTGTTGATTGCCTAACAGCTGTGAATACAAGATGCTGAGTCCAGAACTGTAACTCACTCTGCGAAGGGCACCATCCTTTTCCCACTAATGACTGCTGAGCAGAGCCACCTGAAGCCTGCACGGGATTTAGCAGCAGCTGCACTTCTGCTCTAAGAAATAGCTCACTGCAGTCAGATCAAAGTGAAGCTCTTCCTTGCTTTTCCTGGAAGCTTGGGTATTTACTGTCAGAGCATTAAACAGTAAGAGTTCTAGCTTAACTGGTGCACAGCACTTTATGTTTGATGGGGATTTGGTTAGGGCTACAAACCATCTGAGCTAAGAACCTTGAGAAACTCCTGCTATAAATCGCTTTTTCTGCGACTTTGTGGTGTGACCAGGAATGAGGACAGAATAAGAGTTGGCTGCCTCTGTGATGGAACTGTTTAGGCACCAGAACGCTGAAACTAGATCTACAACCCTATGAATTTAATGTCCTCTGCAACTCCCCTACTCCTAACTTGTTTTCAATATGATAATGACTGCTTTTTTTTTTTTTTTTTTTTTAAGCCTTCTGCTTTACCTCCCACTCTGCTCTTCTTCCCAGGGACTCACTTTCTTCTTCCTGGCTGCTTCCCCATTACAAGCACTCAGCTCCCAGTGTTATCACCCTGCTTAGAGCAGCCATTATCAGCCTTGGCCAAGCGAGCATTGGAATTACCTGGGAACTTCTAAAAATCCGGAAGTCTGGGTCTCACCTCCAGAGATTCCAGCTTAATTGTCTTAAGCTTGGCCTGGACATCTGGGTTTTCAAAAGCTCTTCAGGTAACTCTAATGTGCAGCCAGTATTGAGAATTACTAGCCTCCAGACTCTCTGTATTTTCCAAGGTAACCTGCAGCTGATTTTAGAAATCTCGATTGTCAGGAGAAAAGGGTGAACCTCCCAGGGCTCTACTCCTTTACCAGGTGACACTTCTTTACCTCAGTGCGTGGAGGAGAAGTCCTGCTGCTTTCCATCTCCCTCAAGAGAGTACAAGATCCAGGCAAAGACAAGACTGCAGAGGAGATGCCTTGGGGGAAAGTAGGACCCTAAATGCTTACACCTGGAGGCACTTAACCTTTAATACAGAATTTGTCAGATGCAAATTTGTCTATGCAAACAAGGGCCTTATCTCTAGCTTCCCCTCGGGGGTTTTGAAGGTGCGCTAGTATTCTGAAACAGGGTTGTAAAGTACCTACTCTGCTCACCAGGGAACCTTCTGGAAAGGAGGTGGAGAAACGGAAGCTTTCACCTTTGCAAGTGTGTTACGTGGCCAGCGAGAGCCGTCGCCTAGTAGTTTCTTATATTTGTGGTATTTGGAGGCCAGCCCCACACCTATTTAACAGGGATCTGCATTTGAACAAGATGCCCAACGGATGATATGCAAGTTAAAGTTTGAGGAGCGCTGGCCTAACTGGGGGTTGCCCTAAGTGCGGAATCCTACTTCACAAGAGAAGCTGGGCGAAGGAGCCACTTATTCTCCCTCCAGCTGGGTCGTTTTGTGGTGAGTGGCGAAGCGGCGAGGCTCACGGGCCAGGGTGCTGCACGGGCTCCGGCGCGGCCCCGCCTGCCCGCCCCGCCTCCCTCCTGGGTCCTTGCCCTGCGCGCCGTTGCTGTGGCAGCGCAGGACGCGGCTGGAGCTGGGCGGCGGCGCCCTCCATCTCCTCCTCCGAGGCCTCCCCGGGCCCCTGGCTCGGGCCCAGCCTGCCGCTCCGCCATGCCACGGAGGAGGCGCAGGAGCCGGGTGAGTGCCCTGGAGGGCGGCCGGGGGGAAGAGGCGCCCCCGGAGGCTGCGGCTGTGCCTTCGGCGCCGTTAACGTCCCCGCAGCAGACGGAGGCGGCGGCGGCGGAGCGGATTCTGCTCCGGGGCATCTTCAAGATCGGGAGGGGCAGCTGTGACGTGGTGCTGAGCGAGCGAGCCCTGCGGTGGCGGCCCATCCTGCCCGAGCGCCCGGCGGGTGAGTGCCCGGCCTCCGCGCCTTCGCCTCCCTCTCCCCGGCCCCAGGCCCGCACCCGCGCGCGCTCTCACTCCACCCTCCTCTCCCCCCATTCCCGCTCTCCAAGCTGCCGGGACAGGTTCCCAAGTCCCCAGGTCGCCGCCTCCAGCTTCCCAGCCGGGAACTCACGCCCCTCGCCCCACCCCACAACCCCCAGGGGTCCTCTCGCTACCACGCTTTCTCCCGCCTCCGGGACCTTCCCCGGGCAAACGTGACACTGAGCTTTTGCTCAGCGTCTCGGCAGAAAATCTGGAGCCCCCAAGGGGAGGTAAATTAAAAACGTGAGAAGGTCACTTCGCCACTCCAAGTGGAAAAAGTTTTACTCCATCAACTTTGATGTTCCACTGAAACTATAAACATTTTACAGATATGCCTACACACGAGTTCTGAATACAACACTCATTTTGCTTACTTGAAAATGCAACCCCAGAGCGTTGGGAGTGATTCTGGATTTTTTTCTACTCCTCACCTTCCTTGCCGTTGTCTAGAATCAAGAGTTCTTCAGGCTCAGCCTTGAAACTTGATTTTTGATATTGACCCTAGAATATTGGATCAGTTTTGCGATGGTTAGTTGCATCAGTCGGTTTGCGTACATTTGCCTTTTATTGACTTAAAATCTTAAAGTTGTGATGCTGTAGTTTATAACAAATACTTCGAATCTATTTTCACGTCTTAATCAAATGGTCTTATAGTCTTGCAGTTATCTTATAAAGACCATCTTACAATATAGTCTTATTTACAAGTCTAAACTCCAGAAATACTCCCCATTGTTGAATTAACTTAGATGTGAGTGGTGAGCTTAGATGTGAGCTTAGATGTGAGCTCTACTATATCAAGGTTATCTACTTGCGAGGAGATGACTTGGGAAACCTTGGAATCTGATATTCAACCTCTTTTAGCTGAATACAAATTTATGAGATTAAAAAAAAATTCCTGTTGGAAAACAAGACACAGTGTGCTATTTATGTTGCAGAATAGAAAGAGTCACTGTCTTAAAGTTTCTTCCGCAAAAGTCTATGAAACCAACTACCAGGGCACCTGCACTGGCTGCGATTGTGAATTCTGCCTGTGCTGTGTGTGCCATGCTTGCTCACTTCATGAAAATGGTCTTTGACCTTAATTAAAATGTTTTCGGGTGTTTTAAAAACCAAGATGAAGTATTTTATTGAATGTTTTAAAAGCTGGGGATATAGTATAGAATGATTTGTCTTTCAGGCAATTCAAGTTATGCAATATAGAAGTTTATAATTACGTACAGTTTGGATTAGCCCAAAGAGCCAATTTAACGTACAATGCTGCTGAAATACTATAGAATTAAAATGAGACATTGTGCAATGAGAGGTCATACACACCAATGTTGCAGTATTTGTGTACAAAAAAAAAAAATGGCACGAGAAAAGAAACACTGTTTTATATTGAGTGGTGCTTGAGAAAAATAGGTTTAATTAGCATTCCTGGCAGTAGAGTTTTAAAATACATCTTGACAGATTTGTAACTTTAATGGTTGTAAGTACTGATTCTTTATGTTTAATTATGCCCGAAAACCATTTGGTTTTCTTTTCCTTTATTATTAATTACAAAAAAGAGATACAGGTGTACCTTTTCTTTACTATTCTTTTCCTTTACTGTTAATTACAAAATTACAGGTGTACCTCTTTTGTAATTAATACCTGGTATTCAAACCACTTTGGGCCTCTAAAATTGAAGACACAGAAGCCTTAGTAAGTACTTCCATTTATAGAAGAAACCAAGAGATGTTTTATTTAGATAAAATATAGCCAAGCGTGGTGGCCTGTGCCTGTAATCCTGGCTACTTGGGAGGCTGAGGCAGGTGAATTGCTTGAACTCAGGAGGCGGAGGTTGCAGTGAGTGGAGTTTGTGCCATTGCACTCCAGCCCTGGCAACAAGAGCAAAACTCTGCCTCAAAAACAAAAAACAAACACTTGGACATAGGAAGATGTTAAGAGATGATATATTTAAATGTGAGAAATACTTTCTGTTGAATAAACATAGATGTGAGTGGTAAAAGATGAAATGGAAGAGGACTATATCAAAGTTACTGTACTTGGGAGGACACGATATGGTAGGATGTGGTTGGGGGAGAGCATGTCCATGTCTGGCTGTCTCAGAAAAGGATGAGGGTGAGTAGGGGAGGTCACTGGACGTTATTAGAACATACATACGTTTTCAAGACTGCTTAACTCGTAGTGTTTTTTGTTTGTTTGTTTGTTTTTTGAGACAGTGTCTTGCTCTATTGCCAGGCTGGAGTGCAGTGGCATGATCTCTGCTCACTGCAAGCTCTGCCTCCCAGGTTCAAGTGATTTCTTGCCTCCGCCTCCCAAATAGCTGGAACTATACAGGCACGTGCCACCACGCCCAGCTAATTTTTGTATTTTTAGTAGAGGCGGGGCTTCACCATGTTGGCCGGGATGGACTTGATCTCTTGACCTCATGATCCACCCGCCTCGGCCTCCCAAAGTACTGGAATAATAGGCATGAGCCACCATGCCCCACCAAGGCTGCTTAGTTTTTAAACCTCATAGTGCCTTAATTGTTTTCACTGATGAAATAAATACCATGTGATCTTTTTCTAATTTTCCATCTTGAGTAATGAGCAAAGACATTAATGTATTTTATGAAGGCTATGACTGCCAAAATTGGGACAAATTGATGGTCTTGTTGGCAGGGTAAATGAACATAACCATAGTAATTGTAGTTCGTTTTATTGGGTTCGGGGGTGACTTGGAATAATGGATGTGTTACCCTTCCCTGTAGAAATGAGGCTTTCAAAAACAGGCTATAAGTCAAGTTGGGAGGCACAAAAGTATCAGCACTTTTTGGGGATTTTTTTTTTTTTTTAAGTCAAAAAATATTTGAAATCAAATGTGTGTTATAATGTTATGCATGTGCTTCTTAAGCACATTAACCAGATCTAACAGCTGGTCTAATAACTTTTTAATTGTTTTAAAAAATTTAATTGACACATTGTAATTGCACATATTTATGAAATACTATTTGCTGTTTTGATATTTATGTTGTACATTTATCCAGTCAGAGTAGTGTATCCTTCACCTCACATATTCATTTCCTTGTGGGTTAAAACATTCAAAAGCCTCTTTTCTAGTTATTTTGTGGTATGCAATAGCTTACTGCTAACCATAGTAACCCTGCTGTGCAACAAAACACCAGAATTTATTCTTCCTATCTAATTATACCTTGGTATCTGGTGACTAACCTCTCTCCATCCTTGCTTCTTCCCTGCTCTTCCCAGTCTCTGGTAACCACTATTCTAATCTCTGCCTTATTTATATCAACTCTTTTGTAATAGAAAAATATTCTGCATGTGAGTGACATCATGTGGTATTTGTCTTTCTGTGTCTGGTTTATTTCACTTGACATGATGTCCTCCAGGTTTATCCATTCACAATTCACAGGACTTTATTTTTTTTTATGGCTATTATTCCATTATGTTTATATATCACATTTTCTTCGTCCATTGTCTGCTTAGGTTGATTCCATATCTTGCCCATTGTAAGTAGTGCTGAAATAAACATGGGAGTGCAGATTTCTTCAACATACTGATTTTATTTCCTTTGGATACATACCCAGTAGTGGGATTGCTGGATCATACGAAATTCTATTTTTAATTGTTTAGGAACTTCCATGCTGTTTTCCATAATGACTGTACTAGTTTACAATCATACCAACAATGTGTAAGTGTTCCCTTTTCTGTGTATCTGTGTCAATACTTATTTTCTTTTGTCATTTTGGCAATAGCCATTTTAACTGGAGTGAGGTATATCCCATTGTGGTTTTGATTTGCATTTCCCTGAAGATTAGTGATGTTAAGCATTTTTTTAAATGTACCTGTTGGTCATTTGTATGTCTTCTTTTGAGACATGTCAATTAAGGTCTTTTGCCCATATAAAAAATCAAGTTGCCGGGCGCAGTGGCTCACACTTGTAATCCTAGCACTTTGGGAGGCCGAGGTGGGTGGATTACCTGAGGATGGGTGTTCAAGACCAGCCTGGCCATCATTGTGAAACCGCATCTTAAAAAAAAAAAAAAGAAAAAAAAAAAAATCAAGTTATTTTTGCTGTTGTGTTGTTTCTTTTATATTTTGGATTTTATCCCTTTGTCACATGTATAGATTGCAAATATTTTCTCCCATTCTGCAGCTGTTTTCACTCCGTTAATAGTTTTCTTTAAGGTGCAAACGTTTTTAGTTTGATGTAATCTTACTTATTTTTGTCAGTGCTTTTGAGATCTTATTTTTAAAATCCTTGCTCAGCTCAGTGTTGAGAATAATTTCCCTTTTGTTTTCTTCTAGTAATTACATAGTTTGAAGTTTTACATTTTAAATCTTTATTTTGAGTTGATTTTTGTATATGGTGAGAGGGAGGGGTCTAATTTCATTCTTCTACATGTGAATATCCAGTTTTCCTACTACCATTTGTTGAACAGACTGTCTTTTTTCCCCATGTATGTTCTTGACATCTTAACCAGTTGGCTGTTGTAGGTGCATAAATTGGTTGTTAGGAGCATGTTGTTTCCATGATTTGTGAAGTCATCAGTTTTCCTTGTTGTTGATTTCTAGTTATTTTTCTTTTGTTTCTCTTTATTTTATTTTATTTTTAGTAGAGGTGGCTTTCATTATGTTGCCCATGCTGGTCTCAAACTCCTGGGCTCAAGCAACCTGCCCACCTTGGCTTCACAAAGTGCTGGGATTAGAGGTGTCAGCCACTGCACCTGGCCTGATTTCTAGTTTTATAATGCTGTGGTCAGAAAAGATACTTGATATTATCTTTTAAAATTTGTTAAGACTTGTTTTGTGGCCTAACATATGATCTGTCCTCAAGAGTGTTCCATGTGCATTTGAGAAGAATGTGTGTCTGCAGCGGTTGAATGGAATGTTCTGTTAAGTGTCTGCTAGGTGCATTTGGTCTATGGTGCAGCTTAAA